AAAAAAAAAAAAAAACAGTCATAGCACGATTTTTCGTAACTCATATACAGTCTAAGTATTTTAGACTTTCTGTTTGGGATGATGTTTCTTCTACCTGAGTTATATCCCTTCCAATTTCATTCAATGAGATTTGTGGTGGTAAATGCTTTTCTAAGTTTCTGTCTAAAAACATGTTTATGAGGGGGGCTTCAAAAGGTTCATGGAGAAATTCCATTATCTTTCAATTTTTTCACCAACTTTTTGAAGTTCCCACATATTTTGCTGTCATTTCAAGGATCACAGTTATTTTCTCTCAGAATGCTGAAAATATTCCAGTGTCTTTTATCTTTATGACTCTGCTGTTGCTTCTGAAAAATCAGTTGTTGTTATGTGCCATGGAGTCGGTTCCAACTCATGCGACTCTATACAGGGTTTCCGAGGCTGTAAATCTTTACGGGAGCAGAAAGCCTCATCTTTCTCCCACGGAATGGCTGGTAGTTTCGAACTGCTGACCTTGCAGTTCGCAGCCCAATTTGTAACCACTACGTTACCAGAGCTCCTTAAACTTGAATAGTAGTGGTTGGTATTAACTTGTCTTCCTTCTAAATATACAGCTATTTTCCTATCACAGACAGCATTGTACTTCAAGAGAGATCTTGAAATGTTCTTTGTGATGATGAATGTAACAAAGCCAGGGATGACAAATTTGATTGTCTGATTCAAAATGGTCAATACCTATCCATTTCAGCTTACTTGTTGCTGTTTTTGTTACGTGTTATTGAGTCACTTCTGACTCATTTGACCCTCTATAGGGTTTCAAAGATCAGCTGTTGGTTTTGAACCATCAACTCTGCAGTTAGCAATCCAGTGCCCTGATCACAGATAACACCTGGGACTATAAGAACTCCATCTAGGGCCATGAACTCTACAGTCACATCCTTTCTGCACCTACATTGTGCCAGAAACCCTCCAGAGTTTTCTCCTCTCTGGGTTCAACAGCTACACTGGATTTTCCTTGGGTTTAGTTTTACTCTTTCGTAGCTTTGTTTTAGTTTGTTTATTCTTTCTTCTACTTCTTCTCTTTCCATTCCCTTGAATTTTATCCTTTCTATCTCTGCTTGTTTTTCCTTCTTTTCTTGTTGTTGACTCTTGTCTCTTTTTTCTTTTGATCATTCCTTACTAG